TTACAACTTATACAAAAGAGAGGAAAACGAATTTGATTTTCCCCTTTGTTTAAAACTGGGTTCTTCTTGCAGCTGATGGAGTGCTTCCTTCGATTGATTGCGTCGAACTTGCTCTCCGTTGACGATGGAATCCCAGAGGAACCCACGAGAACGGGTGGAGGACGTTCTATACATCGGTGATGAGGCAACGACAAATACGAAACGACTTTCGTTTGAAATGAGATGTCTCTGGAATGGATGAGTAGATTGAGGAATCGGACTAAGAACTGATGTGGTAAGAACCTGATATCGAGTGTTCAGAGATTTCTCTCTTTCCCGAGATCAAAGGAATCAAAGTCACATTTTCTTTATTCTCTTCTTTACAATTTTTCCAACAAACAACTCCTTTCCAAACGAAGACAAACTAAGGAACATGAAACAAGTTGGGGAGAATTAAGGGTTTTCTGCATATATGAGGGGAGTTTTTTTGAAATTTTTAGGGCTTTCAGCTCGAAACAAACAGTCCCTTAGAAGAGAAAGGGGTAAAACTCAGTGGCTTCATTGTCAAGAGAAGAATGCAAAGGACTCTTTGAAGAGATTGGTAAAAGTTAGGGACTTCATTGTTAAGAACATGTTCGGTTGGTTTTCCCACAATTGTGGGAAATATATTTTCAGCAGAAAAAACTCTATTTTATGAGTTTACTAAGATTTCATGGAAAAGCCAGTCTCATGTTTGACTCACTCATAAAATAAGGGTGGAAATGAGTCTGAATCTATTGTTTGTTTCACAAAATTAGAGTAGAGAACCATGTAGAAAATATAAGTTTTTGACTTTTATGTTATTTGGATGGAAAACCCCAACATAAGAAAAAATGAATTAACACACCATGATGAAGTTACCATTCATATAAGACAAAGGGATTTGGGTCCTCTTTAATTAAGTGGTAATTAGAGAGTCTCCAATTCTTCTAATCATTACCATATATCTAAACTCAAGGGACAAGATTAGGCCGCAAGATAAAACCACAATTATCTTGAAAATTAATATTTTTTGAAAACCACTATTCTTTGAAAACAACTATCACAATAGAGGAGTCCTACATGGCATAATCTTGTCTGTTAAATTTACGGCAATGATTGAAGAAAATTGAAGACTCCAATTACCACATAATTGGAGATGATATAAATCCAAGACAAAGTGTTATACCTCTCTAAAATAAGGGTAAACATACCCATGAAGCATTTAATAATTAACATTCAAATCTTTATGTGTTATGAAAACAGTCCCCAAATCTTCATAATTTGAAATTAGCCTGGGGACCTTGAAACATTTAGGGGACTAATATGGAAATAATGGAGCGTTAAGTCAGTAACCATAAAGACTGGTCATTTGTTTAAAAATAATAATTAAAAAACCACAAGAAAACGCATTCTAGTGCTATTTTTTTAAGCACAAATATTGAATTTCTATCTGAGTTCTCTTTCTATCTAAACCACTAGCATACAGGAGGTGGTTCTACATCCTTCAATGGAACAAATAAGAGGGAAAATTTGAAATTTCAGTCGCCAGTGTGAGACTTAGAACACTCATCGCGTATGGATGGTTCTGATAGGATGCGTGGTCTTTCCATCCCATTTTCCAAATATTTTGCTTGGATACGAGGGTTTCATATTTTGCTTATGTGGAGGGGTTTTTTTACTCCTCATTCCCCAAAAACAATATGCGAACCAAACACAAAAAACGGAAAATGTTAGGTCTATTTTGGTGCTACAAAGCATGTTATATCAAGGAAAACATGTTTCAAATATTTTCGACCCAACAAACCCTAAAAGAATATAGGAACGGGCGTGGGGGCAAGTCTCTTCACACTATGCTCTCATAAATGTTATTATCATTGTTGATTGATGTAAGAGAACAATAATTATAAGTTGAATGTGTTTGAATTTATTATCATTGTTTTAAGGAAAAAAATTTACACTCCCTTATCTTGAAAATTTGAAAATATTATCCTCGAGTGAAATTATGTACTCTGGCGAATGGTAAAACTGATTGCAATTTTGCGAGAGACCTATCAGCCAAAAATCAAAATAGAGAATGACGAGTTCTCAGGCGTGGTACCGCAAGAGATCTGTGTCAGCTAATTCTTTTATAGCAAGATATTTTAGACCTTTTAACAACATCATCAACTAAGGTCCAAAAAGATTGATAAAAATCCATCTCTCGCATCATTTTGTTCAAAAATAAAATTGCATTTTTTGAGTACGACTCATCTACAAAAATTACGCAAACATTTGAGATAAAACCCCAAAAGTTTGCACAGAAGGATGACATTTGTATCAAGGAGGATGCAGCTTTCACTGATTCAATAAGCTTTACTTCATCTACAAATTCAAATCCAACGTCATCATCCAATGATCACCTTGAGAAAGATTGAAAGAGGCCCCCAGCAACAAAAATTGCGCAAAAATAAATAAATATAATTGCCTGCATGGTGCTTATTTCGTTCAGTCACCACAAAGAGCAACCCCGACTCCTCCCCCTACTTACATCCCCCACCAATATCTTATACGCTCAAAATGATATGGATAGTTACAGGACATCTCTCT